GCCGCGGGGCAGGGGGGGGGAGCCCCGAGGGACTCTAGCTTCTGGTGCCAAGCGCTGGCCCAGCGCGACCCGCTCCGGGGACAGTGCCAGGTAGGGAGCTTGAATGGGGCGGTACACCTGTCAAAATGCTGACAGAATACTTTTTATTTTCTTTTCTTTATTTTTTCTTTCTTTATTTGATTGCATTGACTGGGAGCGGGGGCGGGGCCGAAGGGCAAATAAATGTTGACAGAATACATTTTCTTTCTTTCTTTCTTTCTTTCTTTCTTTCTTTCTTTCTTTCTTTCTTTCTTTCTTTCTTTTTCCCTTTCTTTCTTTCCTGTACAGCCCGCATACAATGTCACATTCTTATCATGAATCCACATTTACAATTTATTTATTTATTTGTCTACTTTTGTCTTTTCTTTCTTTTTCTTTCTTTATTCCTTTATTTTATTAAGGGGCAGGTGCCCAAGGAGGCCCGCAGGACGCCGTCTCCATGCCTTGTGGGACGAAATCGCCGTTTTCTGGGTTGAAGCATGTAGGAGAGCTCACAGTGAAAAAGTATTGAAAACTGAGTTAGAGTGAGGAAGAATGTCTTCACACCGAGGTCCCCATAGGAGGTCTCAGTAGAGGCATCTGAGAAAGGCCTCAGCTGAGGAAGTGGCTTCTGAGTCAAGGCACCTGAGCTGGGAGGTATATATACACAACAGCTTGGCCGGCGGGGCCCCCTGCTTGCAGCTCCCTTTGGGGAACCTAGTGCCTTTGCTGGTCACCCCGTCAGTGTGAGGAGGGCAGCTTTCCGGCAAGGAGGCCTGCCAGCATTTTGGGACGATTTTCCTTTGTTCAAACCTTAATCTGGCTGAAAAGAAGGAAACATCAACTGAGCTGTCAGCTGTTAAAGTGTGCACACATGTTTTGGGGACACCCTGCATACTGGAGTCCTGTTGAGAGAAAGGGAGAGGAAGAGAGACATGAAACATCCATGAAGAAAGAGAATTACTGAATTGCTGCCTCCTGCAAGCCCCACACTGGGGATCGAACCTACAACGTGGCCATATGCCCTAACCTGGAATGGAACTGAGACCTCCTGCTTCGTAGTTGGACGCTCAAGCACTGAGCCACACCAGGCAAGCAGCATTTATGTTTTAGATGCATCTTTCAGACAGTTGTTTTCAGAAGCAAAGCCTGGATGTTGCAGAGAGTATGAAGCGAATGCACAAGGACAGGTACCAGCAGATGTAGGCCCCGCTCTGAGAGATTTCCTGTTAACGAAACAGCTTCATCTTCCCACTACTGACTTAAAGTGGGTGAAAACAGAACAGAAATATTTGTCCTCTGACTTTGTAAATCTTGTTTAACCTTCAAACTTGCAATGTCACGGGTTTCAAGTCTGCCAACTCCAGAAGAAATGTCGAGTGGCTCTGGAGCTGAGAGCTGGAGCCACACTGAGATCAAGTTGGTAAAATTCTCCCACACATGGACCATCAGTAACTTTAGATTTTGCCGGCAGGAAGTGGGTGAAGTCATTCAAAGTTCAACCTTTTCATCAGAAGGCAATGATGAACTGAAATGGTGTTTGAAAGTATACCCAAAAGGGCGAGATGAAGACAGCAAAGGTTACCTGTCACTTGACGTGTGTCTGGTCAGTTCTCCAACGCATGTTATTTTTTGCAAAATTCAAACTCTCCATCCTGAATGACAAGGGAGAAGAAATCAAATCTTTGGAGAGTCACTGGCCATATAGCTTTGTACAAGGCAAAGACTGGGGGGTCAAGAAATTCATCCGTAGAAACGTTCTTTTGGATGGAGACAACAGTCTTCTCCCTGATGACAAGTTGACCCTCTTCTGTGAGGTGACTGTGGTGCAAGATTCTGTCACCATTTCTGGCCAGAATACCATGAAGATGGTGAAGGTTCCTGAGTGCCAGCTGGCCGATGAGCTAGGAGGACTTTGGGAAAATTCCTGGTTAACAGACTGTTGTTTTTGTGTTGGTGCCCAGAAATTTCAGGCTCACAAAGCTATCTTAGCAGCTCATTCTCCAGTGTTTAGGGCCATGTTTACACATGAAATGGTGGAGAGAATAACGAATCGGGTTGAAATCACTGATGTGGAGAACCTGGAGTTTTTAAGGAAATGATGTGCTTCATTTACACGGGGAAGGCTCTGAACCTGGACAAACTGGCCGATGGTTTGCTGGCAGCTGCTGACAAGTATGCTCTGGAGTGTTTGAAGGTCATGTGTGAGGAAGCCCTCAGCAGACACCTCTCTGAGGAGAATGCTGCAGAAATGCTCACCTTGGCTGACCTCCACAGCGCAAAGCAATTGAAAACTAAGGCAGTGGATTTCAACTCTCATGCTGAGGATGTCTTGGAGAGCGAGGGGTGGCAGGAAATGGTGGAATCCCATCCCCATTTGGTGGCTGAGATGTACCGCTCTCTGGCTTCAGCGCAGGGCCCCTGTCTGGGACCCCCACACAAGCGCCTGAAGCAGTCCTGAGATCCTGCCCGTTGTAAGACTCCCTTGAATTTCCAGAAGCAGCAGCCACTGTAGCTGCCATTGAGCACCAGGTAGACACCCCAACTTGTGCAGTTTTTCATCTGCTGGGGGAGGGGGGGGGTCTGCATCTTGGCCCCAGATTTTTAGTTTTCTTACTTTCCTTAAAGAAATCAT